TCATATGGATTTAAATGAAATACTCAGTTGTTTTAATGAAATATTAATAGACATATAGAAAAAAAAACATATTAGGCGTATATGAATCTAAAGTCAGAAAATCTTAAACCTCATAATATGATGACTTGTTAGTAGAAGGTAATATTCAAATCTTATGAATTTGAGATACCCAAAAGTTCAAACATCAAACCCAGGTTTTAAGATGTAAAAAACGCAAAACAAATCATGAAAATATGGATAGGATTTACAGAGTAAAGCATAATTGGTCAATATTCTGCCGAAAAATTGACCAAAATAATAAAAAAATAGAGAAAAATAGGTAAATAAAATTAAAGAAAAGAGAATAATGGGGTGTTAAAATATAAAAAAAAACATTACCGAAATACACGTGTTTGATACCATGCACTAACCTTTCGGCTGTGATTCATTTTAAATTTGAAATGACCTACTGAACATTATTTCAATATTTGACTTTATACTTTGTGCTAAATATGGAAGCTCTTTTCAAACAGTACCAATATTTAAAACGTATATTGACTGAGAGAGTCAAAGTAGGTCTGAATGGTGTTAATCCCTGCTTTATTGTCCTAAATACCATTTGGTCAACTTAAGGTGTGATACAGGACATTGAGTTCACAGTACTAAACATTATAAGATATCGAAAATCCATGGTTTAATTGTGTAATTCGAAACCAGAGATCCGAAATTCGGAACTTAAACGTCAAAGATCAACCCAACATAATATGAAAAAAGGAAAGTCAGTTGATAACTAGCTAGCCTATATAAGGGACATATCTGCATCGGAGTTATATAGCCTTAGAATTATACAAATAAGTTATATGTTTTTGTAATCAGTTTAAAAATAATGTCATGAAATTTCAAGACCATTTGCAAACGGGAAAGTTTTTTTTTCATTTCTCTAAAAGAAATATATGGTATTGATTTTGCTCATTGATGACGGCCATAATTGGACCTGCAGTTATTTAGATTCTTGTTCTTTGGTATTAAGTTTATGATTGATTGATTGTTGGTTGCTTAACGTCCAGTGGCAAATATGTCATGCATATTCAGGACGAGAACAAGTTCACAATAAAAACAATAGGTAGGTTCTGTAATAGATTAAGGGATTAAGGTCGGAGAAATTTAGACTGCCACGGGAAATGAGGGTATATTGGATAGGGACAGAAATTTAGCCTTGCAACAGGTCACCTACGGACCCCTCAAAGAGTTGTTGCAAGGGTTCTTAACGTGCAAAGAGCGTGGCACTCTCTTTACACGAGGCATCGGATTTAACGTCCCCATTCTGACCGGACGTGGCTGCAAATTTGTACATCCCGCACAGCCGAACGGACGCCCCACTTTAGCACGGGTTTTACTGCCGGTCGGAGGAAGACCAATGGTGACCATACTTCTATTCCCCAGTCACCCTTGGGGGATATTAAGTTTATGATTGTCTCAGTTACAACTGTACAACATTTCCTCATTTTTGTATGAGTTATTATAACAAAACAAAACACCATCGAAGATTCCAGGCTTTAAATTTGGTACGCCAAAGTCGCTCTAACCGAAATCTATACCAATCTATACATTTGTATGAACAAATCAATAATAAAGATGAAACGTTTTAAAAACGGACATGTAAAAAATACAAGTCCGCCTATATTATTATTAGTCCATAACAGATTTTAGACTTTCACTTTAGTTACCATAGAAGTGAAAAATTAATATAATGAAGTTGTAAGTGTTTTTAGCAGATTAATCAATATCTTTTTTAATATTCAAATATAATCGCATATCAACCATTCAAAGAAGAAATTTGCTTTCGCTTCACGGCCGTTGTTAAGAGCTTGCTAATGGATTCGTAAAGAGTTCGATTTGTGTTTTTTCCCCTGCAAATTAGACAATTGTGCTTTTTAGTTGTTGTATTTTGTATAGTGTAATCATAATGTTAGTTTAAACTTAATAAATAAATACTATTCTTTAATTGCTTTGTACAAAATTCAGGCCGTTGAATTGTTTTACATTTTTCATGGTGGGGCCTTTCTGCAGCCTGCTTTTACGCTTTACTACACAAATCTTGTGAGGTGATATGGGTTATATATAGTCTAGATAAAATAGGAGAGAAATCTCTTACAAACGTAATTATATGAATAAACTTTTTTTTTACTTGATAAAATTTCAAATTTACAATATCATTAAATATGTGTAGATTCGAGAGCGTTGATTGGCTAATGTTAGTACTATCATAAAATAGGGCTTTTCAATAATAAAAAAAACTAAACAAAGGATATGAGGTATCTATCCATGACACAAAAACAGTACATGCACAGCAGAAAAACACAAAGAAGCAAAGGAACAGTGCTTTTTTGTTGTTCTTCATCTCGAAGTCACAGTGTGGCCTTCAACGGGGAGCAAAAAAAACCCAAAAAAACTCTTAGCTCTTATAGCTTCCATCAATTTGGATTATCTCCTTGTTGCAATTGTCTAGGCCTTGAACGCACCGTGTCCTAATGAATGCTGAATTGTGTGTGGAAGTTTTAACTTTTAAGTTATGCATGTAGTGTGTATGTCTTTGTATGTACGACAGATAAATCTCATATAATATATAGAAAATTATGCATGTGTTGTTGCAATTGACTTTTACATCAAAGCCAATGTATTCTGCTATTTTAGTGTTAATGAAATAATTAGACCCCGGACTATAAAAATCCTTGGGAAGACTCCAAGTTAAATATTTGTAACAGTTATATGATGTTGCTTGTTCATATTGTGTTTTGATGACGCACGTGTCAGTTCTCCACTGGCGCTTGCCCAGCGCTGTAAAGGGGTAGTTTCACAATACAATATACAAAGCGAGAGCGAGAGCGAGACTACATGTTTATGACATCTTTACAATAAATCCGTTTGATGTGTTCCGATTTATGTTTTAGTCTGCGAGACATAGTTTGTATATAAATATATAAATTTGGCTTTGAACTAGCTTTCATTAACTGCATTTCATTTTGAAAGGAAGGTAATAGATTTTGATCAACCTCGATCTGGATGGTTTCTAATCATTTTATGAGTACTTCGAATTCTATACATTTGTCTTGTTAATGATTTAGCATTGCTTTCATCCATGTATGTATTATGTTTCATTGAAATTTGATTTCAACTTACGACGACAATATACATGATATAGCATGTTAATTAGACTCATGAAATGCTGATTTTTGGTCCACTTATATAGATAAGAGGTTCTAATTGAATAGATGTCAAATGATTCAAACGAAAAAATGAACTTCAAAATAGTTAATTAAACATTTGTGGCCTAGTTAAATTGATACACTTGTAGTATATTTTTTTAAAACACTCTTGAATCTTTTGAAATTTGTAGTAATTGGTCCATTTAAAAACTTAAATAACTTTTAAACTTTGGTGAAATGATTTGTGTAAATTATTAAACACTTCTATCACCAATATCCTAAATCAAATATATTAATATAAGTAAATGTATATGTTATTATATTAGTTTTTTTATATATGTCAAATGAGAATATCTAGTTGCAGGCGATATGAAAAAATCAATGCATGTCTTTGAATATTTTATAATGTAAACACTAGAGATGAAATTGTAGTAAATTGGTATTTGATTTTTTTTTTAATATAGAAAATCAGAATGGTGTCTTGTTTCTTGTTTGCTATTTTTTAGTGGATACATCGAGTTTAGAAATACCATTATAATTTCATGGTCTAAATTTGTACTTGTATTTTCGCCAGTCTATAAAATCAATTTGACATTATATGTTTTATCTATCTAATCTTTTAGTAAATAACAGATGAGTTATATGTTTCTCTTATTCTTAGACAGACTTGTTCTTTTCGTGAACCGTTGACTATTTGTTTTATATTCAACGAGTGTTTATCTCAGATTTTCATTGGTGAATTCACTGATGACGTCAAATGTTCTAGTTTTCCTCTGATTTGGCAATTACAATGTAACGAAAAAAGACGATAAAGCCTGCATGATGACTTAACATAGAGAGAAAACGATATGTTTGGTTGTCAATAAACAAGAAAGTAAAAGTCTGCTTAAGATATCGTCTAAAACATTATAGAGAAACAGATTCCATCACCATGTCTCGTGCAATATGTTATTTCTGGCAAAACTCAAGCGTCCTCAGTGAGAGATACTTATATGACAAGACTATGAGTCGACTCCTCGCTAGGCTGGAAATCTTTTCAATCTTGTCATAAAATTTGATAGGAAGAAATTCTATGCTTGAAATAAGGACCTCCCTCTTGATGTCGTTTGATTATTTGTGTCGTTGGGTTGCTGTCTCGCTGACTTATAATCCAAATCTCATTTTATTCATATAAAGTGTGAATCAATGTATAAACAAAATGAAATAACTAAAATAAGGAACCTCAAGGTGATTTGAATAAGGGAAAATCCGTAAAACTGACAAAACCAGGCGCTCGACTATTTCAACAAACTGTCTTATACGCATTTTCTGAAAAAATAGTGGGTTAAACCTGGTTTTACAGCTAGCTAAACCTTCCACTTGTATGATTGTGACTATATATATATATAGAAACGTTGTATTGACACAAAATCTTTGTACGCATTTGACAAACCCCAAAGCAAAAAAACAACGCTTTTTTACATTGAATGATTGATTTTTGGTGTTAAACGCCACTTTCAGTACTGATTTACCAGTTTTTATTCATCTCTATTTTTTTGTGATTTCCAATCGTGATTTCCCTCCCATATTGATATTGGAAAACAAGCAAGATGTTTTCTTATTTGAATTGTTTTACATTTCGTTATGTAGGGCCTTTTATACACGTAGCTTGCTTCTGTATGTAGTACGGGTTTTGCTCATTGATGAAGGCCGTTTAGTGACCTATAATTGTTCACATTTACGTCCTTTGGTTTCTGGTGGATATATATATAAATGTGTCTCATTGGCAATCATACCCCAAGATATTGGGTTATTTTTAAGATCATAACAAATGAATCCGTTTTATTCTTTTAATAATTTAATATTCATCTTCATTCGTACATTTGTAACAATAAATAGATAATAATAATGCCACTCATCCAGTTCAATTATGCATACAATATTTAACAGCAAGTATCAAATAGAGCATTACCAAATGTCAATGACACATAAAATATTCAATTACAAGAATTCATAAATTCTTTTTATCACAGATATACATATAAATAAGATTTTATCAAATGGACGAAAAATGGAAATTACAAGTAAATTTTGTTTATTTACATAACAAAAAATTGATATGAAAATGAAAAAAAAATATCACAGTTATTGATCACAGAAAAATACGATAACAAAATAATAAATAAATCCCATTACTAGATGTAATACATTAATATGATATGTAAATAAAAGAAGGGAAAACTTAGAAAATCTAACATGACGTAAACAAATTGAAAACTTCTATCCTTGCTAAACGTAAATTTTGCATATCCAAAGAAGATCTGGGTAAGATACGGTTATTTCTATTTCTTAACGTTTAAAAAATATAGTTGCGTGAAAAGAAAAGGAGACGAAAAATTTGTTTGCAAATACTACAAGATTAAATTACAAAAAGACAACATACCAGAATGAAAAGAAATCCATTAAAATGACAAATTTACAATGTTTGAAAGACTGTCGCAAGGAAAATGCATAGATCCATCAGGTCACTACATAGTAATGTTTAAAATCAGGAAATTTTAATGTTTAATTCGTTTTGTTTAATAGCAATCACTGTCATGTTTCTATGATTCTGGCTAACGAGTCCACAAAAACACAAGAAAGACGGAAATGTCGATACAACGAAAAACATGATTTGGCACACTGAAATATTGGCACTAATATGTCTCCAATGGAGAAATGTCCCGTATTCTTGCTTCTATACTTAGGTATATTTATATGCGTGTCGTATAAGTTCTAACACTAAAGTTCTTTCACAGTTTCTTGCGATGAACTGTGTGTTGCGTCTGCAAACATACTGTACTATAAACTGCGTAGCACTCAAGATTGCTAAGCCCAGTCCTTTATAAAGCACCAACTGTCTTGTGAACACGGTTCAAGAAACTAGAACCAGTCTAGTTCCACTTCAAAAATCTTCGGAAGTCTCGAGTATATTTCAAAATTGCACTTCAAAATACAAACGCATTTTGGTTAAAAATGACGCCCATTTCCTTTGGAGAAATGTACCGAGTTCAAGATTTAGCTGGATCTAATATATGAAGTCCCGAAAACTTTGCAGGCAAGTCATTCATCCATTTCATACATTTTTCAATAGCTTCTCTCCTTTCTTCGTCATATTCATAGTCAATCACATTCTGTTGCTCCGACGAGGATGATGCTGTATGCAACGATTCGTCGGAATTTCCACTGATCACATCCGACTTTTGTCCGGAGGAAGTACTGTTTGGATAAGTTTGTTTCTTTACTCGATTTAACGGAGATCTACTCCAATTCTTAACTTGATCACTGCGTATCCATTGTTGTTGTCTTTTAATGTGATGTCTGACATGATCGTTTGCAGCCATATCGTGGCGGTTGTCCAGTCGTAGAGAAGACATGCTATTATACAATTTTGATATCAAAGTAGGTTCCTTTAAATGTCGATTAAGTTGTGATGATAGTCGTTGCTTCACCTGAGTTTTGGATTTAAATGATTCAATACAGGTAGACTGTTTGCTTATATAGCCTCCTTTCAGTGTCGAGTGATTGATCAATCGATTTTTGTCGTTCTCGAGATTCCGGATGTCCCAAGTATTTTCTGTGACGTCATGACCTTTTAATGGCAGGCGATTAGGTGGGTTTAATTTATTAATTTTCGTACCTTCCAACGGGGGCAACCTAATGTCAGTACATGATTTAGCTTGCAAACCCATTAAAAATTGTAAAGATTTATTTCTTGAAATTTGATTCTGATTAATTCCTCCTTTATTATTTATCGATATAATTTGTTTGTTTGATACTGGTTGAATATCCCATGAAAACGTTATTGAAGTTTTATTTCTTTTTTGATTTATTCTCAAATTCGTTTCTTCGTGAATCATTTTCAGTTTTTTATAAGTACCTTCGACAGTAAATGGTGCTGATAATTGTATCTTCTCGTTGCTTTGTTTTTGTTTACTAGTCGTTGTTTTTTCCTTCGTCTTGCAGTTGCTATTGGTTCGTAGTGTTGCGATCGTTAAAATATCTTTAAGTCGGTCTGAGAATGAAAAAAATATTTATTAGTAACAAAATAAAAAAACTTTTATTGAAGAAAAAAGCAAATCGATTCGACGCAAACATTTTGAAGTTATTTTTGTACTATTGCGGTTCCTGGTAAATAAAGGCTAGGTTTGTCTATGTATACACAATAAATATACCACAAGTAAAGAAAAAGTCTTTATCCTTTAAATGAAGAGCTATTTTCAGTCAATTAAAAGTGTCGTAAACATGTAAAGTGTAGCTATTTAAAGGTCTCTCGTCCCTCTTCCTATGCTCAACAATTTATTTTATTTTCATTCATGTAACATTAAACAGGATATAGTTTGAATGAGTATATAATCAAGTTTAATGTATGTTTTTAACGAAAAATCATAAACAAGGCAATATATTGTAAAAGTATTTAAATTTTAACTCTTTAGTTAGGTTCAAGTGGAAATTGTAGTCCTTCCTTCTCTCGAATAGTCAACATGACCATATATTTTATCTGAAAAACGCAAATCATCTTTCTGACATGGCTTAAAATAGAATTTAATGTGTTTTTAATATGTTGTATACGTTTTACAAGTGTTGGTCCTATATATATATATATATAGTATTAACGTACCAAGATTGCATGTGTTTGAACAGCAAGTATAAACAACTAAAAGTGTTTATCTTTTACAAGTTTTTTTAGACATCATAACAGACATTCTTCAAAAGTTGTTTTAATGACGGATGTCCAAAAAAGGGGGAGAAGTTACTATGGGTTGGAGGACATACAATATCATGGTTGAAAGAGAAATTAAGAACAAAAAATATTCTACAGAACACTTCACAAAACAACAGATTGAGTAACACGACACGACTGCAACGTGAAAACTGAGATGAACTCCAATAATTGAATGATTCTCAAACGTGGGTCTAGAAAATTTTCAAAGGATTGTAATGGTTTCATATGAAGAAGGATTAACAGCCTATTTTTCGTCGATTATTACGTTCCAGTTAAAATAAATTCTCTAGACCTATATTTTGATCCGCCAACTATCCTATTAACACAAACGACTAACAATAAAAAAAATACCATGATGTTAATCGCAATTTACATGGTAATTTACAAGATCGTTCATTTATTTTAATTGTCTTTTAATAAGTTTAACAAGAATCCTACACAATGTATAAAAAATGAATAGATATACGTATATAAGGTTTATAACTACATATGAGCATTTAATATTTCATTTCAATGTAATTTTTTTACAACTTCATAGTGTATTGTTTTGTGTATATAAATGTCATGCTGCCCATCAAGGGCCCTTAATTGGAACAATAAATATTCTTATTCTTAGTTTTATTATTCTTAATCCTTGAACGAAAAGTAGATGACAGATAACAAACAAATAAAAGCAACTTCGTGTACGTGCTACATATATTTAAGTGCAGTTTTTTATAATATACTCACGGTGCAGTTGAAGAGAATGTGTACTTTTACAATAGAACGAAATGCTTGAAAATCCCCGAATGATTGAATGAACTTTCGTACTAAACATTGGCAACTAATTTAATGCACCTCTCAGATTTTAAATTTCAAGGAATAATTATTACTTCTCTGTTCTCTGTCACCCTCTTTACTGAATTCCACGAACTTGTAATTCATGGATTTCAATTAAGCATATCCGGCTGTACCAAGGAACACCGTTTTAATAATTTTCATTTATAGATTGATATATAAACACTGTATATTTTTTAACATAAATTAACATTTTAATTTGATACACTATGTAAACAGTATAGTACCATTAAGTACGAGCTAGCTGATTGCTATTAAACGTGTTCAATGAACTACTATAACTGTTTGCTTGACTTTTACATATAAGGCAAATGTATTAAATATTCGTACAAAGTATAATTTATATGTGTTTGATTTTATGAAATCATGGTAGTTTTGATGATAAAACGTTTTCAACTTATTTTGAATTATTTGTCTGTCTGTCTGTGTGTTATGTTATACGTGTGTATAAATGTCAAATTCAGGGCTTACTAGCTTGGCGTCCTGGCAAAGGTTCAATTGCTGCAAGATTTTGAGTTTTTATTCGATGAATATGCTACAGGTATTACTAAAATAAAAGGATATGTGAATAATGTCAATGAGACAGCAACCCAACGAAAACGTGTTTTTGTTAAAACATCAATAATGTTACATGTACATGTTGTTATCGATCACAGACAGTTTCACAATTGTGCTGATACAGTGATAAAAAAACAAAACACAGAAAACCCTCTTCTTATTCTAAGCTTTTTTATTAGTTTTTTTTTAGTATTAATCTATCCAATAAGAGCACTGTATAACCCGATTTTAAAAGTGGAAAATGATGTATTGGGATTAGAAGGAAGATAAAACGTTTTCAACTTATTTTGAATTATTTGTCTGTCTTTTTGTCTGTCTTTCTGTTTGTGTGTTATGTTATACGTGTGTATAAATGTCAAATTCAGGGCTTACTAGCTTGGCGTCCTGGCAAAGGTTCGATTGATGCAAGATTTTAAGTTGTTATTCGATGAATATGCTACAGGTATTACCAAAATAAAAGGATATGTGAATAAAATGTCAAATTTAAGAGACAGCAACCCGACGACAACGTGTTTTTGTTAATACAGCAATAATGTTAAATGTACATGTAGCTATCGATCACAGTCAGTTTCAGAATTGTGCTGATACAGTGATAAAAAAACAAAACACAGAAAACCATCTTCTTATTCTAACCTTCTTTTTTTTGTTTTTTGTTTTTAGTATTAATCTCTCCATTAAGAGCACTGTATAACCCGATTTTAAAAGTGGAAAATGATGTATTGGGTTTAGAAGGAAGATTCCCTTTCATACAAGCATTAACGTATTATTCATTGAAATCATAACATTATAAATGGAAAATGGTGAATACCTATATTCACGCTATTGACAAATTCTGATTACACGCGGTAAAAATCAGGAATGTAATGTAAAATCCCCTTTGCTATTGTCGGATTAAATTTAAATCGTCTTCTTATTATAATCCCGATTACTGGTAACAGCATCGTCAATGGAAAAATCATTGTGTCATACCAAAGGCTATATATAATAAGCCTTTTAAATGGGCGATCGAGAATATTCTCTGATATTAAACGTGTAATTATAACGCGTCAATATTGATAATTATGATTAAATATTTAAATGTCTACCTTAAGGATGAGCTATATGAGAATTGGTCAATACATGTACATATTCGAGAAGTGGTTGGCTATTTATAAATAATAAAATTTTGCCCATTGAAATTTGTCTGCGTTCTAATAGTACAATGACCGAAGTGTACGTGCATTGTGAAAGAACTGATGACAAAATTTAACTTTGAATTTCATGCTTAGGTTTCATTGGTTTGAAAAATAACCATACACATATTGCTGAAAGGTATGTCACTTCCAAATATAAACGTTTAAATTGTACATTGGCCGCAGTATACGTGCAATAAGAAAGAACATTTGAAAAAAAATGTAGAGAGTATTGAACTTTGCGCTTTTTTGTATGACAATTGTCTTCCTATACAATTACTTCTGGAAGGTCTATCACCTCGAAATATAACTGTTCAAATTGTAAACCCATGTTTGCTTTCGTGTCCAATTAAGGTCTGATATAAAACCCTTTTTAGATGAATATCATGAAATCAAATATTCAAATAAAAATTTCAAACATTGAATGAATAAAACAAAGGAATAGTATACAAATAAAAGTGGTGTTTATCTGAACTGTAACATTATTTATAAAATCATGGCCAAATTCAGAGACTTAAAACCGAATAGGAGATTGACAACTAATACATGTAGCAAAATATAAATGTTTTTATATATCATAATATAATTCGAATTTGCAAATAAGATAATTTCCCATAGATTCAGAAGATACTTTTATGTTTAGGTGGATTTTGTAGTGACGTCCAATCTTTTATGACGGTCTGGATGGGGAGTCGTTCTTTTCTGTATTCTTTAATCTTTTGGGTAATTTTCTTTAATCTTTATTTGTTTTGACCATTATTCTCTTTTCTCTATACATTTTAGCAATCCCATTATTCTTTATTCTTCATTTTTTAGCTATTTTTTCTCTATTCTTTACTTGTTTTGTTTATTTTTCTCTTTTCTTTACTTGTTTGTCCCTTTATTCAACACTTGGTTCCCATTATTCTCTATTCTGTAAACCCCATCCAGACCCTTATTTATAACTATTTTACAAATGTGTAATATATTAATCCATGCACAGTTTTTTTGGCTAGAATATGAATTTCTGTTTTAACTTTTTAATAATCAAAGTTATAGATGAGTGATATATATAAATGTTTAATCTAATGTAGATGATATAAACACTGTTATGTGTATTCAATCGTAAATCTTAATATCTTTGATATTATAAACCGTGAAAACATAAACATATGTTTTTTACAAATTTAAAGTACTAGTAATCTATGTTTTGATATTTTTATATATAAACAATTTATCATTATAACAATATAAAAAAAAAACAAAATATTTGCATTCATGTTCAATTCCGTGAATACAAAGTCATTATCCATTGAACATTATTCGTTTTAAATCTATAAGAGGTCAAAACAGCATGATTTACTTTATCCCACTGACCTACCTACGGGGATGGCGGATTTAAATGGCACGCACTGAAATAAACACGGCAATAACAAATGTTCATTACAATCAATACATGTATTTCCTTTTATTTGGATTTACGATAATCCATAAATCTTATTCTTTATGCTATCTGATGTCATCTAAGATGTTTATTTTTCTAATTATATAACAGTATTTGTCATTTAAATGGGTATTTTTGATAGTAAACAAATACGCAGGTTGACAACGCTTTAATGGGGTAAACAATGATTAAGAACTGATTTTATTGATAGTTTTAGATCTAATGTTCCGTGTTAGAATATATAAATTAGTAAGTAGAACGGTGAAAAATTGGTGGTAAAAATTTAAAAATTGTGAAAAATGTTAGGGACTTATCATTTTTTACCTGGGAGGGGGGCTGGTCATTTTGAAATCAAACATATAAAATGTTCTTGATCCCTCCATAATATTTCACTATTTTTATTTCATCCCCCCTTAAAAACATCTTAAAAAAATGTGACCCCCCTCTATTAAACATGCCAAACTTTTAACAAGCAAAACACTTACCTTTGACACACATGATATGTAGGATATACTTGAAGATTAAAAAGTTCACAAATGTTTCATTACAGATAAAATTGATCCCCCAACTTTGAATTCATAAAAAATTTGAACCCCCCTTTTCCACTTACAGAAAAAAACTTGACCCCCCTACATTTTGACCACCCCACCCCCCTCCTCCCAGGTGAAAAATGATAAGTCCCTTATACGTAAAAATTCTGAGTCAATATCAATGTCTTAATTTGACTTCTAATTTTTCGTATGGTACCTGGCTAAGAGAGCGAAAGATACCAATGGGGTTATTCAAACTCATAGGTCGAATACAAACTGACAATGACAAACAACAGTACACAAAACACTATATAGAAAACTAAAGACTGAGCAACACGAACCCCATCAAAAACCGGGGGTGATCTCAGGTGCTCCGGAAGGGTTAGCAGATCTTGCTTCACATGTGGCACCCGTCGTGTTGCTCGTGTAAGTACAAGCCCGGCGATGGTCCTTCCAGGAGATGTTGTCTTTCGTAGGGAGATCGGCATGATACAGTAAACAGCTACATAGAAAAGGTCTAAGACCAAGATTTTAACATTTAATATCATTATATCAAAAGTAAAAAAAAATCATAGATCAACGCAGACAGGTTAAAAAATAAAAAAAGGCGAGGACCGTATACAAGGATTTGATGGAAGAGACATTCCTGAGAATTAGGAATAAGAGGACCTTTAGTTATTTTGACGCAAAATTGGCTGAAAATTCAACTTTATTACATATTTTTTGTGTAGGCTAGGCCGTCGCCTGGGGTGCGCCCCTGGCCTATTCTGAATCTGCACCTGCTCCGTACAGAAAATGTTAGTTGTTTTCTCACATAACAAACTTCTAAACGCCAACACAAAGTTCAGTTTTAAATCACTTTTGTGATTTATAGTGTATGTTATTCAACCTTATTTTATCTTCCCTTTCTGCATGAAGTACAGATTAAGTAAAATTCAAAATACTTCGACACAAGAAAATTCTTCGAGGGGTTTACTGCTCTGGATTGACTTCTATAACATTCCTGTGGGCAAGATCAATATGTTTAGTAAAAGTATTAACAACCCTTAAGATAAACATAGGAATGTATATGACCAGTCAGTGTTAATTGACCGCTTTGGGTTGATTCTAATCCTACACGTGGGATACAAGTCCGTGGTGAACCACATTATTGATATTTACGGTCAAGATTTGTTTATCTTTTGGATATATAATTATAGTTCATAATCGTACTTTTACTTAAGATTTAATGGGAAGCTTTAAAAAAGTTAACTCGCACGTTTACCATAACACAAGTATAAATTCCTGGGAATTTTCCCTTGTTTTCTAGAGGTTTCTTTATCCTTTGTTTTGATTTAACCAAATGTCACT